GTCCCTGCTGTCCCCACCGTGTGTCCTGAGCAGGGTCCTGACCGGGCTGCGTGGGGTCAGTGCGGCCACTCTCCGTCTGTCCCGGCTGTCCCCACCGTGTGTCCTGAGCGGGGTCCTGACCGGGCTGCGTGGGGTCAGTGTGTCCACTCTCCGTCTGTCCCGGCTGTTCGCACTGTGTGTCCTGAGCTGCGGCCCTCCTCAGGCAAGGCCCGCCTGGTGGGCCGAGCCCCCGCCCTCCGCCCGGAACCCGGGGAGCAGGGGTCGGCCCTGTGACCTGCAGCCGACCCAGAGCCACACGTGGCCACTTCTGGTGGTGTCCTAGACGCCTGGCGCCTGCTCCCTCCGGGCAGTGTCGTTGCCATGGTCACAGACGTAGAGCCCTGCTCGGCCACAGGCACAGGCCACTCCTCCGTCTGGCGCTCACACGGGCACCCGGCTGTCCGCTGTGCCGGGCGTGAGGCCGTGCAGGCCCCTGTCGGGCCTGGACTCCACCCGGGACCTGCCTCCTCTGAGCCGTCTGCTCTCCCCCTGGACCTCGGGGTCTCGGGTCTCATCTGACGGGAGAGACAGGCCCAGGTGCCAGGCTGTCATCACGACAGCGAACTGGGTGTCCTCAGAGCACGGCTGGCCACGCGCCACCGCTGCCCCTGCCGACCCTCAGGTGGGCAGCCACGCCCCCGCCTGCCCAGCCCCCGAGGGTCACTGCTGCGGTTCCCCTCCTGGTGCCAACGAGGCTGCAGGTTTTGCCGGCTGCGTCCAAGTCTCGCCTGCTTGGAGCTTCCTCAGCAGGCACACATGGGGGGACGTGTGCCTGGCGTGTGGACAGTGAGAGGAGACACCTGTGTGTGTGCGTGTGTGCATGCGTGTTTATGTGTGTGTGCCTGTGCATGTGTGTGCGTGCATGTGCCTGGCACGTACCCGAGTGTGAGTGAGGGTCCCAGAAGCCAGTGGCACTGCCCCGCTCCGCCCCTCGGCCCCTCCTGCCCAGGCCGCCCTTCCGAGGGTCCTTGCAGGGGACACTCCATCCCGCAGGAAAGGAGGAGAGGCGGACAGGGGCGCTGTGAGCCCCGGGTCACCCGGCCCCGAGAACGGAGACTCAGTGACGGTGTGGAGGGCACCCCAGGGCTCGAGGGCCACCTGCTCTGACCACCGCGGCCCTCACAGCGGGAGACGTGTCAGTGTCCTGGGGCTGCTGTCACAAACTGTCACAGACTTGGTGATCTGAACAACACGCATTTATTAGTCCAGAATTCTGAGGTCAGAGGCCAGGCCCAGGTCTCACGGGGCTAAACCGAGGTGCCCGCAGGGCCGGTGCCTGCAGGAGGCTCAGGGGCCGTCGGTCCTGCCTTTCCCGCTTCTAGAGGACCTGTCCCCACCACCTGGCCCCGTCCCCGCCGGAGGCACCGCGTGCGTCTCCTGCTGGGCATCCCCTCAGAGAACCCAGGACAACCTCCCGTCTCAGCCTCCTTAATTCAGTCTGTCTGCAGTGTCCCTCTGCCACCTAAGGTGGCACAGTCACAGCCCCCAGGATTAGGACACAGATTTCTGCGCCCAGCTGGGGGCAGAAATCACACGAGAAGAAGGCAGGAGCAGGGAACAGCATGCTGAGCCCGCAGCCCTGCAAACAGGACGTGAGCTGGATGGGGCAGTGCCACGCCCCTGCGCCTGCCACGGGGATGGGCCACCAGCCTCTCAGCGCCCGGCCACGCCTCCTGCTCTGCACCCCCAAGCAGGCGGCCTCCTCGCTCCCCCAAGCCTCCTGCCCTGGCTTTGGGGCCCGTCCCTTTGCTGACCGCCGGGAGCTGTCCAAGGTGGCCGGCCCCACGCACACCGCACGTTTCCCGGCCCCCACTGTGAAGGCAGCCAGGCGGGGAGCTGGACCTGGGGGGCTGGTGTGGCCAGGCCCTCCCTGCCTCAGCCCAGACCCGCCCCATCTCCCGCCCGTGCCCCGGGCAGAGCCAGCGCCTGCTGGCCGCCGTCAGCGAAGGAAAACACCCCCAGGCTCGTGCCCACTTTCACGTCCAGTGGGAACTGTCACCTGCTCTCCCTGCCGGCCACTCATGGGCTCTGGCTCTGTGGCGGGAAGGGTCCTCGCATCCCTCCTGCTCACGGCCCCTGCGGAGGAGGCTGGCGGTGTCTCAGGGCCAGATTCCCGCCACCTGGGCCCTTCCCTGAGAGGAGCACTTCACCCCCACGCTGCCAGCTCGTCGCTCCCCAGCCCTAAGCTGCAAGGGCCCTGGTGGCCTCCAGCCTGTGCCCCTCCCGCTGTCAGGGGGGCCTGCAGGGGGGTCTGGTGCTCCCCCAGGGAGAGAGCTGGAGCCTCCTGTGCTCCCTGTCCTCCGTGCTCTCCCAGCCCAGGGACAGCCCAGGGACAGCTCCTGGACATCCCAACAGCCTTGCTGGTGGCTACGCCAGACTCTGGCCCAGGTCCCACGGCTGGACCGCCCGAGGGCCCCACGGGCAGGCATCTGGGGGCCCCAAAGCCCAGACAGGAAGCCATGAGTGTGGGGAAGGGTGCTGGGCCCGGGCTCCTCTCCCAGGGTGGGGCTGGGGTTGAAGTTAGGGTTGGGGTTATGCTAAGGGTGGTGTTGGGGTTAGGGTTAAGGTTGGGGTTGGGGTTGGGTTAGGGTTGGGGTTATGGTTAAGGTCTGGGTTAGGTTGGGGTTGGTGTTAGGGTCGGGGTTATGGTTAAAGTTCAGGTTAGGGTTAGGTTAGGGTTGGTGTTGGAGTTGGGGTTATGGTTGGGGTTAGGTTTAGGTTGGGGTTGGGGTTAGGTTAGGGCTGTTGTTGGGGTTGAGGCCTGGGTTATGTCTAGAATTGTGTTGAGTGTGGGGCTGGGTTAGGGTTAGGGTTAGGTTAGGTTAGGGTTGGGATTGAGGTTAGGATTAAGCTTATGTTTGGCATTGTTTTGAGTGTAGGGCTAGGTTTAGGGTTAGGTTAGGGTTGGGCTGGGGTTATGGTTGGTGTTAAGGTTGGTTTCATGGTTAAGTTTGGGTTAAGGTTAGGGTTAGGTTAGAGTTGGTGTTGGGATTAGGGTTATGTTTGGCAATGTGGTGACTATGGGGCTTGGTTTGGGGTTAGGGTTGTGGCTGGGTTTAGGGTTGGTGTTATGGTTGGGTTTTATGTTAAGTTCGTGTTTGGGTTAGGTAATGGGTGGGGTTCGCGTTGGGATTAGTGTTATGTTGGCAATGTGGTGAGTGCTGGGTTAGGGTTAGGTTAGTGTTACAGTTAGGGTTAGGGTTAAGTTATGGTTAGGGTAGGTTAGAGTTCCTGTGTGGTCTGGGTTGACTTAGGGTTAGGGTTAGGTTATAGTTGGTGTTAAGGCTGGGTGTGGCTGTGGTTACTTGGGTGCTGGTGGAGCACTCTGAGCAGGGCCTGCAGATCTTTTGCAGCAGGATGCTGATCCTGGGCCCGGCTAAAGGGTTGGAGAGACACTGGCTCCCAGTGGGCCTGAACGGGCCATGGGACTCTTATCCCCCCTCTCTTCCTTCTGGCCTTCGAATTGCTTGAAGCCTCCCCAGAAACACGACCACTGCCTGTCTCTACTCTAGGGAAGTGGAGGACGTGGGAGACCCAGCCACAGCCCCGCAGCTCTGGCTGGCCCAGGGACCATCTGCAGGCTCCCCTACTCCTCCTGTGAGGGCCCCTTGGTGCCCTGATTGCAGATCTGAGACTCGCGGCGCTCCGTGGCCCCCCATGGCCCCTCGTGGCCCTCCGTGTAAAGGGCCTTTGCAGAGGGGTCAGGCCGTGGCCATGTGCTGACCTCAGTGCTCCTGAAGCTCCTGTGAGGGCCCCTTGCCTGCTTGTCACCTTCGCTGGACGCCAAGCTGGGGACGCGCTTTCCCAATGGCTGCCGAGGATCTAGAAGCCCCGTCAGGCAGTGCAATCTGGGGAGCATGAGCTGAGTCAGCCCGAGGGCCCACGGGGGCGGCGTGTCCCGGGCGTCCCTGTTCACAGGTGGGCTGCGAGGGAGGGCGGAGCTGGGCCCAGGCCTGGCGTCATCCCAGGGGGCCCCCATTGCCCCCCTCAGAAAGTCTCCACTCCGCATGGGTCCTGGGCCTCTCGGGGGAGGGCCGGGTGTGGGGAGGGGACAGATGCCCTCAGGAGGGGTCCCCGATGGTTCCAGACACCAGGGAGGGGGCTTCAATGAGCAGGAAGGAGCTTCGGGGTGCCAGAGTGTTGAGGGCTCTGTGGGCCTCCTCAGAGGGGAGGTGCTTTCTCCTGGGTCCTGGGGGACCCAGCAAGGCCAGGAAGGCGGCAGCTTAGGGACCTGGCTCGGGGGAGGAGGAGGGAGAGGAGCCTTCCGGCGTCCTCTGGGTCCTCTCCCACCTCCGGGCAGCAGGAGCTGGGAGTCTGGCGGGGGAGGGGAAGGAGCCCGCCACATTCCCGGGGCCCCTCCTGGAGAGCCTGTGAGGGTGGGATCCAGGCTCTGGGCCGATTCTGGAGAAGGAGCAAATGAAGAGTCCCTGGCAGCAGGGAAGGGCCCCCCAAAGAGCCAGGGGAGCCTGGGCACCCCCAGGACACAGGGGCAGATGCAGAACCCTGCCGTCCATGCCTGGGCCTTGGTCCACACTCTCTGCGGACCGAGAGTCATGTCTGCCAGGCTAATGCACCGTGCAGCGAGCTCTTGTGTTTATCAAAGGAGTCTGCGTCCCTTTGCACCCACAGAGAGCAGGTGTCTCGGCTGGCCTCCGACCCGCACACCCTTAGCGTGATCATTCGAGGTTCTCTGCAGAAACCCCAGAGCCCAGGGCCCTCTGCTCAGTTGGAACATTGGACCCGGACACCCTGCCATGTGCTGGCCCCATCTGTGCCACGTGGGCCACGCTAGTGCCACGCCAGCACCCTGCACCCTAGGGTGCCACTTGGTTCCAGTTCTCACTGCAAGTGAGATCGTTCCCGCTGGTTTCTGTGTGGGTCAGACACGTGACACTTTCCAAACACAGACCACCCTGGATTTGCAATCATTATTAATTAAGCATCTGCTCAATGAAGCATCTATACCTTATATTTTAAGTCCATAAACAGTTTACACTTATCACTTATTTGCACCCACCCCAAATATACTCAAAGTAATTTAAAAATAAACACTCTTACAAAAAGGCAGTAAGAAGTGAAATTAGAAATCAGAATGATACAGGTGGAGGTGACGTCCACCCAGAGCGTGAAGTAATACGGGTAAGAAAATCGAGCACTAAATTTCCTCTGAGATTCCTGGCAGTAAAGGTGAAAAGAGAGAGTTTCCGGTGCTGGAGCAGAGGAGGCATCCCGTTGGTTGGCCTTGAAACATGGAACATCAGTCCGCCCATCTTTAGAAAAGGAGCGCTTTGGGTATCAGAGAGTAGAAAAGCAAGGCACAGTGGTGACCCCAGCGGATGGTTCCGAGACAGGGTCAGCAGGGGAGGCAGGAGGCGGGCGGACCACGTCTGTCTGGCTGCCGACGCTGCCCCTCGGGGGTCTACGCTGGACCTTTCCCGGCTTTCTTTCCAGGTTTTGTCCCCTCTCACTAGACTGGAATTTTGGCACGAGGGTTACTCTGCACAGACACTCTGAGCGTAGACGAGATGTGGAACGGCCAGTTTGAGCCGTGCATCCCACTCAGCTCCCCCGAGAACCTGCCCTCTGCGACTTGCTCCAGGACAAGGGCTTGTGTTCGGATGCTCTCGGGAAGTCCACGGCACACAGAGGAAGCCGGCGCCCCAGCAGGGGACCTGGCGCCTTCTGCAGGTGCATCGCACCCAGGCTCTGCGTGGGCTCTCACTCTCGTGGAGCATGCACCCTCCTCTCTGACTGCGTCCACGGCCCACGGGTGCCACGTGGGGGAGGCCACGCCGTGGAAGGAACACGGAATGTCATGATGGGCACCCAGGGTTGCAGTCCCAACGGGATCCTTTGCCGACCATGCTGCCGCGGGCAAGTCAGTCCATTTCTCCGAGCTTCGGTCTCCTTGTCCGCCCAGGGTCCAGTGGTGGCGCTGCCCGGCTTGGGGACACCCCCGCGAGGAAACATAACACGTGAAAGCGCTGTCTGTACACAGGGGCCGCGACCGCCCGCCTCGAGGGGGAGCGGTGCCGCAGTCAGACTCCACCTGCTCCCAAAGCCACGGCGGCCACGGGGCCGGGGGCCGGCCGGAGCGGGCGCTAGGGCACCGGGCTGGCGGGGTCCTTGGGGACGGGGACGCTGGGCAGGGACTTGAGGTACTCCAGGTGCCGCCTGGCGTCCTCCTGGTTGTGGCGCACGTAGTACACCACGTAGGCAATGACCATGGCAAACCAGCCGAACATGGTGACCAGCATGGCCACGTCCGTGGTCTTGTGGTGGACGCTGCAGAAGCTGACGCCCGAGTCCAGCGCCTGGACCAGCGGCTTCCCCACGAACTCCTCCTGCACGGCCGTGTGGCAGGCCATCTCGTCCACCGAGTCGGGGTCCAGCTTCAGCTCCCACAGCGCCTCCTGCAGGGCGCACTCGCAGTGCAGCGGGTTGTGCGACAGGCGTATCTTGGCGCTGAGCTTGCCCAGGGCGTCCTTCGGGATCCTGCGGATGCGATTGTGGGACAGGTCCAGCAGCCGCAGGGCCCCGGCCAGGCCCGAGAAGGCGGCGGGGCCGATGGTCTCGATGAGGTTCTGCGACAAGTCCAGCTCCCTCAGCTGCGCCAGGTGCTGGAAGGCTCCGTTGGGGACGTGGGAGATTTTGTTGGCGTCCAGTTTCAGGAGCACGGTGTCCGCGGGGACGTCCCTGGGGACCTCCTGGAGGCCCCGGGCGCTGCAGAGGACAGCCACAGCCCCCGCGTGGTCGGGACACCAGCAGTGCTGCGGGCAGGAGGTGCCCAAGCGCAGGCAGAAGAGGAGGAAGAGGCAGGACCCTCGGGCGGAGACCGGCAGGGGCGAGGGGCTCTGCCTGCGCGCCGTGGCCATCCTGGCGCGGCCGGGCACGGGGGCTCTCCCCTGCCCGCCGTCCGGGAGACGCTGTCGCTGCTCTCGGCTCTGCAAGGGAGCAGGAAGAGAGTGGGCAGGGGAGCAGGGGTCAGCACTGCCCACCGGGCGTGTCCAGCGGGCACCCGCACGCCGTGACGGTGGGGGACCCCGCGTGCTCACAGAAGGGCTTGGGGCGGGGATCACACCCCCTCGAGCACACCTGCCCTGCAACCCATTTCCGCAGACGCCCCTGCGGCTGCGGGAGCATCTCGCCTGAGGACAGCTGCCCGCGGGCGGAGGACAGGCGCTCAGTGGCCAGAGGACCCCTCGCAGGGGCTGGGCCAGGGCTGGGCCAGGGCTGGGCGGCCGGGACCCCCAGCTGCTCAGGGCTGGAGACCCCAGGCCGGCCGGGCTCAGGGCCGGGTGGGCGCGGCGCGGGGGCCACTCTGCCCGTCCGCTCCGCAAGCCTTGACCATCTCACAGCCCAAGCTCTGCTCCCGTCCCTAAAAGGGCAGGCGCGCACCGGCCCGCCTTTCACCCCAGCTGTCTGAGCAGCGACAAGGGGAACGGGAGACCCAGCCCTGTGCGCGCGGCCGTGCTGGGCGTGGAGTGGCGGGGCCGCGCGGCGGGACCCGGACCCGGACCGGGACCCGGACCGCACTGGGGGTGGGGGGCCAGGGTAGGGGCCAGGGGTAGGGTCCGCACTCCCGGGGCGGGGAGGGGCTGTACCTGTGCGGCCGACGCTGCTCTGCGCGCTGCTCTCGGCCTCTCGGAGCCCGCGCGCCCCGGCGACTCCCCGCGCGGCGCCCGCGCCCCGCGCGCCCCCGCCCACCCGTGCCCGCGCCGCGCCCGCTGGCTGGGAGGCGGCGGCGCTCGGCTGTGCGGCCGCGGGGGGCGGGAGGGCGCGGGGGGGGCGGGCGGGGCGGGGGCGGGCCAGGGGCGGGGCATGGGGGGAGACCTGAGCCGGGTTTGCGGGAAGGCTGGGGTGGGGCCCTGGGCGTGCCCTGGACTGGGGCGTGGCCTGAGAGAAGGGGCGGGCCCAAGGGTGCGGGCGCGGGGCTTTCGGGCGCTACCGGGCAGGCGTGGGGCACCCCACGGGGCCGTACGAGCCGTGGGCGGGACCGTGGGCGGGGCTGCTGCCTGGGCGGGGCCGTGGCGGGCGGCGGCTTAGGGTGGCGGGCCGCAGCGGGGGGGCTTGTGGCGGGGCCGCGCGGGGCGGGGCTGCTGGGGCGGGCGCAGCGGGGTGGGGGCCGAGGGTGGGCGGGGCCGCCCATCTGGGTTCCCAGGCCCCTTCCCGCCCAGGCCCCCACCTGCAGCGGTGTCCGAGGTCGGTGCGTGTGGCTTCCCGAGGAGGGCCGGGAATGCCAGGTGGGGGCATCTGAGCTGAACCCGAGCCTCCTCAGGGTCCTTTAAAGTAGCCTTATGTGGATTAACTGATAGACAATGAACCCCATATTTAAATTTGATACGTTTGCATATGTGCGTACACCTGTGAAACCTTCGCTGCAGTCAAGACTAAATGCCCCCACATTTCCCCCTTGTCCTCCCTGCCTTCCCTCCCCTCACCAGGCGAGCACTGATCTGCTTTCTGTCACCACAGATTAGTTTGCATTTCCTGTTTTATATAAATGTGATTATAGAGTATGTACCTGCTGGTCTCCTTCTTTCAGCATAATTAGTTAATATATTGAGGCTCGCCTGTGTTGATGATGGGTTTACCAATAGCTATTCCTTTTAGTGCTGCATAGTGCTGATTGCACAAAAATCCCACAGTTTGTACATCATTCACCTGTTTATCCGCATTTGGGTTGTTTTCAGTTTGGGGCTCTTAGAAATAAAGCTGGTGTGAACATGTGCACAAGTCTCTGAACAACTTCTGCTTCTATGTCTCCAGCCAAACCCCTAAGCGTGGAGTGGCTGGACCATATGGTAGCTGTAGTTAAGCTGCTCAGAAACTGGCAAAGTGATCCTGCCACTTTACATTTCCACCAATAGCGTTCGCTCCATATCCTCACCGACACTTGGTGTGGTCCGTCTCTTTAACTTTAGACATTCTGTAAGTGGTAGTGATGGCTGGAGTTGCGGTTGTGATTTGCATTTCCCTGGTGGCTAATTATGTCACGAATCTTTCATCTGTTTACTTGCCGTCTTCTGTAAGGCAGTGTTCTGTCAAAATCTTTTACCCACTTTTAACTGGGTTGTTTTCTTGCTATTGAGTTTTGAGAATTCTTTGTGTATTCTAGATACAATTCCTTTATCAGATATGTGATTTGTAAATATTTTCTCCAAGTCTGTAAATTGTCTTTTCATTCTCTTAACAGTTTTCCAAAGAGAAAAAGTTTTTAATTTTGAGGAAGTCCAATTTATCAATTTTTTCTTTGATGAATTGTGCTTTGGGTGTTACATGTAAGAAATCTTTGCCTAACCCAAAGTCACAGGCTTACATTTGGGTCCATTATCCATTTTGAGTAATTTGGGCATGCGGTGTGAGGTATGACTCAGTTTACTTTTGTGTATTTGGATAATCAGCTTTTTAGAAATGTTCATTGAAAGGCTAACCTTTCTCTAGTTTGCCGGGAGTTTTTATCAGGAATATAAGGTGGATTTTGTTTTCCCCACATCTATTGAGAATCTCTTCTTTTTGGTCTGTTAATATGATAGATTATATTGATCGACTTTCAGGTGTTAAATTGGCCTGTGTTCTTGGGCTAAATCCCACTTGGTCATGATGTACTATCATTTTTATATGTGTGGTGAATTATTTAATCAATGTTCAACTACTGAGGTTATGGTTTTTACTGAATGTTGATAGTTTGTATCATTCAAGGAAATGTCTATTTCCTCTAAGTTGTTGAATTTATCAGCATAAAGTTGTTCATAATATTCCCTCATTATCCTTTTAACATCTATAGAGCACGAAGTGATATCATTTCTCTTGTTCCTGTTACTGGTAATTTATTTTTCTTTCACTGATCAGTCAGGTTAGAAGGTTATTAATTGTATTGACTTTCTGAAAGAGCCAGTTTTTGGTTTCATTGTTTCACTTTTTTATTATTGATGAGTTCCACTCTGATCTTTATTCTTTCCTTTGCTTAGATTGGGTTCAACTTTCTCTCTTTTGGTTTCTTAAAGTGGAAGCCACTGATTTGCAACCTTTTTCTTTTTAGTACAGGCATCTTAGTACTTTAAATTTCCCTCTCAGTCCAGTTTTAACCACATCCCACAAATTTTGACATATCGTAATTCGTTTTGATTAAGTTTAAAATAATTTATAATTTCCCGTCTGATATCTTTTTTGACTCCTGAGTTCAGAAGCATGTTATTTCACTTGAAGATATTTGGATATTTTTCCAGAGTGTTTTTTCTGGTTTTGGTTGTTAATCTAAACCCATTGTTGTCAGATGACATATTCTATATGCTTTAGATCCTTTTAAATTTATCGATAGACATTTTCTGGCCCAGAAGAGGGTTGATGATTGCTGCCCGTGAACTTGAACGTGTGTCCTGTCTCTCAGTGGAGAGTGCTATCCATGTCAGTGGGGTCAAGGTGGCCGGCCATGTTATTTGCGTGCTGTGTTACTATGGACTTTGTCTACTTGCTCTATTAATTATTGAGAGGGCGTGTTGCAATCTCTGGCTGCAGCTCTATCAGTGTTCGCTTCGTGCATCCGGAGTGCTAGCGGTGCTCCTGGCTAACTGGCTCCTTTATCTCTGGGAAATGACCCTCTTTTCCCGAGACGCTTCGACTTGAAGTCTATGCTACCTGACATGAACATAGCCACTCCGGCTTTCTGCTGAGGAGGTCAGCGTGAGACATCCTCTTCCGCCCTTTCACTCTCAACCCAGTGCGTCAAAACTCCTTGAAGCGGTTCCCTCCGGGATTCCACAGTGTGAGCGTCTCCCTCGACGTGTGCATCAGCTCCCAGGGGAAAGAGGAGGACTTCTCAGCGGAGAAACCACCCGTCCACGTGACAGCGTTAGGATCATCGGTGATCACACAGACGGACATCGCGTGCCCGCGACATGGCACACTGGGAAGGGCGCGTCCCTTCTGTGCCATTCCCGCAGGCGTGCCTCACCTCGCTTGTGCACAGGGACACCCCGAACTGGAAGTTTACAGAGTGACTGGGCAGTGGGCACCAGAGCAAAACGAGCGTGAAACGCAAGACAGGGCTGAGTAACTGCTGCAGCTGGGAAGAGACCAAGGAGAAGCAGCAGCTAGATGCGCCGCGCGGAGCTGGCAGGAACAACGTTAGTGGGGACTGGTGAGCCTGATTCAGGTCGGCAGTTGAGGTCGCGTGACCCACGGTGACTTTCCAGCTTCGGTCACTCACGCTGGAAGCGGTGATGGCTCCGCTCGGGCTCGGGTATGTCCTCCTGCAATTTCCTCCCTTTCCGTCCCATCTGGCCTTCATGCCCGTGTTCCCCAGCACGGCATGGCAGGCGTGGCAGGAGCGCCCCGCAGTGGGACACGGCCTCGTCCTGACCGCACGCTGTCGCTGTCATAGCTTGTACTCACACGTGTGTGATAAACCCCACAACACGGCATCATGACTTTTGCTTTAAACATTCATTCATCTTTCAAAGAGATTGAAATAATACGAGCTGGGAAGCTGGCGTGTTAAAGATCGAAGAGATGCCAAAGCCCAGCCCAGACATTAGGGAATATTTTTAATATTTATTTATTTATTTTTGAGGCAGAGTCTCACTCTGTTGCCTGGGCTAGAGTGCCGTGGCGTCAGCCTAGCTCACAGCAACCTCCAACTCCTGGGCTCAAGCGATCCTCCTGCCTCAGCCTCCCGAGTAGCTGGGACTACAGGCACGTGCCACTGAGCCCAGCTAATCTATTCTATTTTTAGTTGTTTGGCTAATTTCTTCCTATTTATAATAGAGATGGGGGTCTCACTCTTGCTCAGGCTGGTCTCGAACTCCTGAGCTCAAGTGATCCTCCAGCCTCGGCCTCCCAGGGTGCTGGGATTACAGGCGTGACCCACTGGGCCCGGCCAAGGAATATTTTTAATATTTAAATTAAACAGATTAATGCAGTCACCACCTAAAACGACAACGCAGACGTGGCTGAGGCCGCAGCCATTACGCAGAGTGACAGAGGCCAGACGCGCACGCAGAGCACGGGCTGGCAGTCCCATTTTAGGAAGTTGGAGAGTAGGTGGGACTCGTGGACGGGGAGGGGTCCGAGGCGGGGAGGGGGGGTGGGGGGAGGCCGTGGGGTTGGGAAATGTTCTGTGTCTCGGTCCGGGAGCCGCCTGATGCCATCGCTGCTTCCGCCTCGGTTCTGTGCACGTGACCGAGTGCCGGTTATGCCTCGGTAAAAAAACAGTGCCGTGCACTGTGTTTGCGAGTCACAGGCGATTCCCGATCACAGGGGTGAAGAGCGCGTGCAGCGGTTGTGCCGCACACTTGCGTCAAGTCTCTTGGTCAGCGCTGACTTTGGTCCCCTCAGCTCTGCCCCTCCCCCCCAGATGCTGCCAGGGTCCCCCCGGGGAAACCTGGCTCGGTGCCCACTCTGGACCTCAGCCTGTGCTCCCAAAAACACCGGGGGACTTTCCCATGCCACCCTGGCCCCGTGGTCTGACCGCCGTGGCCTCCCTTCTGGCTGTAACCGGCTCGGGGCTAATCCTCTCGCTCGCTGAGCCTCCCGGAACCCAGGCCATGTGGTCTGGGATGAAGCGCAGCGGCCGCAGCTGGTTAATTGGCCCTGCCAGGAAGGCTGTGTGGCCGCAAGGTAGGAGTCTGTCATCTCTCTGGGGATCGGCGTGGCGGAGCCCGGCTGGCCGCATC